ATTTACAAAGCCTATCCAAAACAACGTTAGACTACCTCGACCTCGTGTGCTCCAATTAGGAAGGTTCCAGAGCTCGGAAGCTCAGGCCGCAGCAGGTGGGTGAACTGGCCGTACCAATACCACACGCCTCGGGGTTTCGGATTTAGGATATGAGCAATGCCGGACTCTAAGTGAGCAAGATTTTAAGCGTACTGTTAGATGCTGTAATTACATGCATATGGTAAGTGTGTGTTTGTTTACAAATAATATGGACATGCAACATGTATGTACCAGTTCATAAGCTGTCATGGCAATGGTATCCATCCATCCATCCGTCCATCCATACCTTTATGCGTACATGCTTACAGCATACAGTGCATGCATCACAGTACTGCGCATCGGAGGGTAGTATGACTGTAGGATCTTGTTGTTTTCGCGTCTTTCAACATCGATCATACACTACAGACTGCTGGGGTGTGCAGGGCATGTTCGCGGTACTTTGGCATGAAGCTGCGCTGCATATGGCACGATGGCACAGTTCGGGGATGAGTTCATGTCAATGTGCCCTTCTGGCTTCATTGGCTTTCGTTGGTTTAGATAGCTAATTTGCGCCTAGTTGTAACTAGGATTGCGCCCATGATTCTTGACTCGCAGTCGTTGCTTGCGACACTTGCAACAGTAACATATAGCTTCTTTGCTTTAATGCTGTCGGGAAGGAGTTGACTGCGCAGGGAAGGGGGGGCGCCTGAAACTATTAGAACATGGCCCGGTCTGGCACTCCACAAGTTTGCGCTGTGCCGTGCATCCAGGCAAAGCAACCCTGCGGTGTATCTCTTGGATTCGGCCGGTCCCGCATGGCTACCCTTGTCAAAAGGGCTTGTCTTGCATCTGACTTACTTAAGGCACGGACTGATCGGGATGTAGAAGAAATTCACCCACGTCAGCCACAGCAGCAGCTTCCTCTCGTACCTCTCTTTGTCGCAGGTTGAGCAGAAGTACAGTCCAGACTTTGAGTCTGTATACATCAATGTAAAGCGCATTCTGTTTCCCTGCCACGAGTTCAACCCCTGTTTGCCAGCTGCGTTCACTTTCCAAAGAGGTGCCGCAAAGGTGGGCACTCGGTGACCAGGATCGATGAAGCGCGGGCGATGGGCTCCTGGTCGAGGATCCAGGCGCGGCGAGAGTGCCACTTGGTGTAGAAACCTCCGCAGGGATAGATATATATATATATATATAAATGCACATATGTATATGTATACGTATATATATATATATATATATATATATATATATACACATATGTATATGTACATATTTTTATATGTAATATATATATATATATATATATATATATATATTATATACCCTGTCGCCACGAGCAAAGCTCGAATGTACAGTACAGTAACACGGGATCACTATCCAAAGGCACTCGACGGAAAAAGGCACCCTGCAGCCACTTATTTGCATGGGCTCTTGAGTGCGGCTTGGGACCTGTCTATCCCGCTTCGGAATTCTTAGCATCGTTCCACACGCATGTCGCCGCCCGGCACAAGAATGAGGAAAAGAGGCTCTGAACACCCTGCAGCCATGTTCCTGATGATTATTCCGGTAGACTTATGTAGACATCACCGATTCACGACCAAGCTATTCCGCAGTCAACCGTCGCAGGCAGCGCCTGCCTGTGACGTCCACCCAACGCCAGGCCTTTTGCGCAAACCTCCGATTGGCAATCGGCGATTGTTCCCTACTTGTCCGATATATGGTTTAAACAACTCCCCAAATCTTGTTCAATTGTGAAGGCCCTTATCTCAGCCCTCCCAGAGCGGGCTTGACACATGAGGCATGGGGTGAGTTCCGATTATGGAGGTCTGCGTAAGCGATCCGCAAAAAGAAACCTAAACAAAAACCCTATGGTCGGTATATCCCATAAACTCCTCTTGATGTAAGCCCAAAAGGAAGGCTACCTCACCCAACAAGTTCTGATTTTAGGTGCCTCTTTTCGGGTCCTGATGAGAAGTTGCCACGATTTTGCCCTGACATTCCCCGTATTATTGATGTACAGTGTACACCACGAAAGCCTACTCCAATGAATACGGGCCCTAGATTAGCCGGCAGAACTTATGCGCAGGAAATTGCCGGAACACGGTGTCTGCAGGAAAGCTGGCATTCTTTGCCTGACTGACTCCTCGAACCCGAAGCCCCAAGTCGTTCACTGATTGATTTCTATCATCTCAAAACACGGTGCTCAAAGAAGTAACTGGGCGCATTCCGGACTTCCGAGACCCGGACGACTCCTGGTTTGAGGAGACCACGGCCGTGGAGGAGGCGCGGGTGAAGGCGCGAGCCCCAACCTTTGCAAGGAGAGGCAAGGATGGATCTGTAACCCAACCTGAGCATGTCGGGCAACATTACTGTCGTTATAGACGGGATGGGCTTCGTGGTTGCCACTCAGACAAACCTAGTCTAAGAAAGATACCTTACCAGCACCTTCTCATGACGACTGGCCCGTCACCCAAATCGCGGCCTGCGCAGCACGACGGAGCATCGTGGGAACAGGCCGCCGGGCGAGCTCTACAAATGTGACCTTTGCCCTCTCGAAATGCCTGCGGAGAGTGGGCCGGCAAGTCTTTCCCTGTGCCCCTGCAGCATTTCCAGGAACTGGAGGCCACAGCATGACCATAGTCTCAGTCACGATGGTTGAATAATGTTGAATGACAGCGGCATGCAGACAGCATGTTCACTGCCGTCAGCAACTCCTAACACAAGGAGCTTTTCACGTACCATCAAGTCTGACTAATGAAATGCATCAATCACTTATTTCAAGGGTTTCCGAGAAGCCGAAATCGCGAAGCACAACCTTAGTCGTCCGCGCCGGAGGCCGAGTTGACAATAGTACATGCACCGGCACCAATATTGACAATTGAGAGGTTCGGCAGACGAGGCAGAGTCGCGCTTGATGCGCTTGAGTCTGACGTGCGCAGACGAGGTGAGGATGCGAATTAGGTTGGGATATCTGGCCTTTCCCGTCAGCCCGTTCCGCAAGCCGGCTTCGCTGTCATGGCGGGAGTATCATCTGACTTTTTGCCGCACCGTTCGCACAGGAAGTAGTCGTTGGCTGAATTCCTTGTGATCCAGTTTAAGTGGTTTCTGGGTTTCTGGGTCATGATTACTACCTCCATCAACCCCTTCATCCAATATAGTAGCCTTAGTAATCATATTCCTAAAATCCTATTCCAACTATTAAGCCACCTTCATTTAATTTTGGGATAAATAATTCTGTATAGTTCTATAATAAGGAACCCCCCCCCCAAACTAGTACCAACCCGTGTGCAGAACTTCAGAACCGCCTGCATCCTGGATGCACACTGGGCCAAGCAGGTCATGAGGGTTTAGGGTTTAGGGTTTAGTAGTTTTTTTGTTTGAGGGCCTTTTTGAGTCTGCATGACAGAGGGTGTAGGGTTTAGAGTTTAGGGTTTCGGGTTTAGGGTACTTATGCCCGATAAACTCAAAGCTAAACCTGACCTTTGTCTAAGGCTGCCTCATGCAGGGACAGCAATACGAATATTCGTAGCACGGACTAGCGAATAGTCGGAAATGAGTCTTCCAAAAGCTCGCCCACACAGCCATACTTATCAGAATAGGCTTGCATTAGAGAGCTCGGCTTCGACAAACTGTGCTTTTGAAGTCTCTGCCTCTGGGTGCAGAGCGGCTGGCAAACAATCCAAGATATCTTTGCATGAAGAGCCAGAACATGTTTTTTGTGTTCCGTATCAATATCGCCCTAGCCATACTCGAGATGACGGCTGATGAGATGGGAACATGTTTGACCAAGCTCGTAATGGTATGTAATTATTACATAAATTCGCTTGAAGCCCGTGTACGAGCTGCTCATCGTTTCTGCATAGCATGGATACGACCCGAAACCCAAGTCCTAAATGCTGCTGGGACCTATGTACAGCCTTCCTGCGCTCAGCGACCCGGCTCCTCGGGTGACGGGTGCAAAGATAGAAAGGATAAGACAGTCGGCTGAAACGAGCAGCCATTAACATGTCGTCCTAGGTGTAAGGCGAAGCAGGTGTCGGTGACCGTAGTTTAAGGTGACAGCAGCCATGACCGGCAGTGCCCCTCCTCGTACTCCACCTCCTCCTCCTCCTGCTGCTAAGTTACTACTGCTACTACTACTACTACTACTACTACTACTACTACTACTACTACTCCTGCTACTACTACTGCTGCTACTACTACTACTACTACTACTACTGCTAAACCCGGCAACCTAGCGGGAGGCACCTACTTAGATTCTTCAAGAGAGAAAGCCCTGTTCCGGCCTTGTGGAATTTCGAACGAGACTTCAGCCAAATCCCCTAAAATTTAAGCCGGGAAGGGGTCGGGCAGACATTGGGGTGCCTTCATTCAGCAGCTGAGACAGGCATGTGACAGCATTTTATCGGACCACACAACTCAATTCTATTGCCTCCCTTGTCGCCGTTACGTGGAGTCTCTCCTCACATCGACTCATGGACAATTGTGCTGGTCAGGTTCACGAGTTGGAGCGCTTGGACATGCAGGTCCTGGAACTACCGAAGAGACGCCAACAGCACGGATCACAGGGACCAAATCTCTGCGAGTTTAAACTGGAGAGCAGTGGTTGATCTGCTGGTGTCGTTGTTGTCGTCGGTGTCGTGGGTGACGTTGGTGTCGCTGGTGTCGCTGGTATTGTTGTTGATATTGTTGATGTTGGTGTTGTTGGTGTGGTTGGAGTTGTTGGAGTTGTGAGTGTTGTTGGTGCTTGTGTTGGTGTTGATGTTATTGTTGGTGGTCGTCGTGGTGATTGGGGCCGCTGATTCAGGCTTTGTCGTGGAGGGGAGAGAGTTGATGGCGTAATTTCAGCACGGGGAGGGGGAAGGAGCTGATTCCGGCATGCCTACTCCTACTCTGAGCCGCGAGGCTAAACCCCAAATGGAGGAACCCTAAACCCTAAACCCCCAAACCCCAAATTGAGGGCCCGGCCAAGAAAGCCTTCACTTTCGGGTCTTCGTAAATGTTTGCCCTGAAAGCTTCTGCACCTCGTCAACAGATTTATGTTAAGCTCAGAATCCGCACTTTTGGCGTTTTTCCCGACCCCACCTGCCCAAACTATGAGAATCCGGCTCGTTGATATCATGCACTAAAAATGAAATATAGTAATACAGCATACGAAAATACACTATATGATATACTGTGTTAGTGGCAAAGCTAAGATATCTGGAGTTCAAAGCCGTGTCTTCGGTTTAGCCCAACCGAGGTTTGTCGACCCAGTACCGTCTGGTTCTTAGTAATAAGGGAATGGGGGAATGGACTATAGAGGCTATTATTGGGGATTATATGGGAGTCTCCCAAAATTAGGGGTACCTTATTTTGGGGTCCTTGTAATAAGGATCCTACTATTTAGGGTACTATATTAGTGTCCCCTATTTTCGGAAACTCCCATATAGGGACTACCATAGGGATGCTTTCCCCCAACATCATGGGAGCGAAGCTCGGAGCGTGGGGGCTCAAGGTGATGGGCATTGGGTGAATTATTGTATGGCTACTTTGGGGTTTAGGGGTTTAGGGTTTGGGGTTTAGGGTTTAAGGGTTTAGGGGTTTAGGGTCCCTTTTCCTGCGTCAAGGGTGGAGCCTGTTTTGTGGCGCCTCAGGACTCTTAGTGCTTCGGGCGCCTACCTCAAAGCCGATATAACCTGCTGAGGATTCAGATCACTTGCAGCTGTGATCAGCTGTGTTCAGTTCTGCAGCTGTGCAAGCCTGTGCATTCCTCGCACCAAGTCAGCACAGCTCCGACAAGATATGCAGAGGGTGAGATTTACACACAAATACCGTGACCCGTTACCCCAACCTTGGCCACAAGTTTGCATGCCTACTACAAGTGGCATCTCTTCTGCGGGACCTTATGACCATAACAAATTCCTCTCACGGACAGGGACGGAAGAGAACATCTCGTAGGAGTTAACATCATCGTGGACTTAGGGTTTAGGGACGTTGCCTCTGCAGATCTGCCATGGCATCTTCGGAACGTGTGCTCAGCTCTCTCTGCAGACTCGTAGAAACTCAGAAATACCGTTAGGTTGCATCATCAGTGACAGAGTAACTAATGGTAACCACTGCGATTGAAATGCGTGCAGATGCTGCGATTCGAATCAAGCCGCAGTTGAGGCTAAGTTTAAAACGATGAGTCCCATCCAAACCCAAACCGTACATCTTGCACCCTCCACCCACACAATAAACCCCAAACCCTGGGCACACGCTCCAAGGTGCCCACTCGCATCAAATCCTTTCGCAGCTTAGATGCTTCGTCATGCGCTGCCTGGCGATCTCGAGTGACGTTGACACACCCCAGACATCCCCAATTAGAATGCCTGCATCAGTCATAACGATGAAGAACAAAATGATGCCAACGATAAGAATAACGGTTGCTAATAACGATAACATCATAACTCTAATAATGATCACCATTGTTAGTGTTTCTGCCATTAACAATGATGCTAAAGTTATTACGAATATTAGTATTTGGATTATTATAATTCTTATTTTTGCTGATATTACTATTATGATTACTGACTATTTTCTTATTTCGGTTATCGGTATTGTCCCGGTCGCTTGGAGGCCCCATCCCTGGAATCTACTCTGCTCCCAGCTCCCGCGAAAGGCCTTCTGGAGCTGCTCCATCTCAGCCTGATGAGGTCGAGGGTTTTTTTGGGGGGCCCTTTTCGAACTGCGGAACAGTCGAGGGTTTGGGGTCTAGGGTTTGGGGTTTACGGTTTAGGATTTAGGGTTTGGGTTTTTTAAGGGTTAAGGGTTTAGGGTTAGGGGTTAGAGGTTTCGGGTAGAAGGAGCCCCCAAAATAGCATCGGTAATTACTGAAGCCCATATAGTAGGGTTTGAGGTTTATGGGTGCAGTAGCGCCTTGAAACTGACAAAAACTGTGTAACCTCTCGAAGTACGACATTTGACAATGTCACATCTTTTCTGCAGAAGCATTAAACCTTCAATTGGGGGTTGTTCTAAATTATGGTCCCTTTTTGGGCCCTATAGTAGTATAGTCCTTATTATATAGGGTACCCAAAAAGGGACCCTAATTTAGAACAGCCCCCAATTCAAAATCCAAAATCCCTCCGAAAACCCCCGGAGCGGTCTTCGTTTGAACTCGTTGAAGCCCCAGGAATCCTGAGGCCCTATAGTAGAAGCCAGAAAGTTGGAACATGGATATAGGAGGATTAGTGCTAGGATCCCTTATACTTTACATTAAGGGCATGAGGATAATGATGTTCCAACTTTCTGGCTTCTACTGTATGTAACTTTCCTAAAACAACAAGGTGTCCTAGGGTTGATGATATAAACCCTGCCATTACATCATAAGGAACATACCATAATTCCGTGGTTTAGGGTCCTTACGGTAATGCAGGATTTATATCATCAACCGTATTTAGGTCCTTAGAATAAGGGTTTTGGGTCTATGATGGGGTCTCAAAAATTTCTGGAACTCGCACATCAGGGTTCTTTGATCCTCCACCTAAGAAGTTTCACATGTCACATGAAGCGCAACTTGGAACACCCCACACTCTGCATCATGTTCGTGGTTGGCAACTACTATCAGGAACTTGATGATATAAGAATAGGGTTTCGGGGGTATATGGAGCTAACAAAATCAAAAACGTGTCTGTCCCAACTTTGGAAACTGTGTCTTTAACGCCAAGGAAGCTTCAGACAGAGATGGCAAGTGAATAGCTAAGAAGAGTGTACGCCCACATACCTATGTATATATGTGTATATACACATACAGACGCAAGATCCGTACGAGCATATGTATCTCCATATGAGTATACACACATATTTATACATATATACACATACATATATATATATATAGATCATTATATATATATATGCCTAATTACACATATTACGAGTGTGAAGAGCTTTCGATGGGCGGTTCTTTGATGATGCCTCCTCGACAGCTTCCTCGATCAGCTCGATCTGAGCGCGGCTTGCACGTAGGGCAGCAAAGACGGGAGCAACGTGGGGGCTTTAAGAACAGAGTACTCTACTAGACTCTACTTTTCGTTATACGAAATCGTGAACTCTAAGCTGTAAACCCAAAGCTTGGGTAATAGACTCCACCCTACTCAGGTAGGGACTTTCAATAATTTTCTAGTCTCTGTGTTGAGGATTCCATTGTTCAGCTTCGCCTGAGGCGGTGTTCACGCACACCCTGCTGGGAGTTTCGCGCGCGGCATATGCAAGCTGTCGCTGAAGCCAAAAGATTTCGGGTCCCGCTAATGCATGTAGGGGTCGACAGTCTATAGGGGCCTGAATCAATTTTGAGTGGGGTCGTGGGGCACCTTGCACAAAAAAGCTCAAGGACTACGTATGCAGCCACTTATACGGCGATCCTGTTCCTAAGTATCCCGACCCCTCCATTTCCTGAATCTCAGCAACTTTCGAGCGCTTTGGCCCCGGCCAAGGTCGGATCCCGCGAGGGTTCTTTGCTCTCAGGCCGACCTGGCACAGCTTCACACGGAAGACAAGGGTACTACAAGGGTAGTATGAGAGGTACGATAAGGGGTAGTACAAGGGTACTACAAGGGGTAGTATAGGGGGCACCATGCAGAAAGTTGGGGGTTTGGGGTACTATTAGGGTACTTTTAGGGGTAGTATCAAGGCTACTGTAAGGTTCCACAAGGATGAGTTACTCCAATCTGGGGTGCTATAAGGGATCGAGGATTTAGACAGGGTCGGGGCCTTTCTGGATTGGTTGTGGGCAGGCTTCGCTTCAATAGGAGCCAGCTCAAAGATTACTGCGCAGCTGACCCAGAAGCAAGCAGATGATCAGGTGTGTAGGAGACAACTTGGACACGGCGAAAGCATACCAGTGGCCTTAATAGTTAGAATAAGGTTTTGGGGCCCATTATACTAGAATTATAGTAAAGAACCCCCAAAATCATATCGGTAATTATTAAGGCCCCTGCATTATAAGATCTGCAAGCCACACTGCGCTCTGCTCTGCTGCCCGGCGCCTGTCGGCGGTTCTCGATGCGTGCCATGTCGTTGCCAGGATCGGCCCGAGCACTCCTCCTTCGAGCTGACTTAGAATAGGGTTTGGGGGTATATTGTACTATATTATAATTACAACTAACAAGTGATTTGGGGGGTTCCCTTGGCTCTTTAGCTCCTTATCTAGTAGGGATTATCATCATCCCTGGCTCCTTAGCTCCCCCAATATCAATGGTTAGACAATAAAGGCCCTGCAAAATAGTACTTTTAGCTAGCTCTGAATGCCGGTTTGCTTTTGCCAGCTCATCTCAGCTATGAGGAAGCAAAACATCCTGTTCTTGAGGATTCCTTGGCTTCATAGGCTTGTAAAGTTCCCTGCACCTGTCCTGAAGTGCCAATTCTCGGTGAGGCGACAGCTCTTGTACGTCGCGATCCTGATGCCTTGTCGGACAGAAAGTTGATGGAGGCATTGCGGTCAGGCACGTGTAACCCGAAAAGTAAGTATCCACTCAACACGTTTGGAGCGAGACCCATGCATTGCAAAGTGGCGTCTGCCTGATGGTTGCTGCGCTGGGCTCCTGCAGACTTTTCCCCATGGCTGCGCCTGCAAGCAAGGCACACGCAGATGGAACATCAGGAGCAAGAGGAAATTGACAGTGGTCTCTGCAGGTGATGGCGAGACAAGCTTTTGCAGAAACGGCACGACGATCTGTTTGCACACGCAACTCTCGAAACATCACATGGCGACACTTAGCCAGCACAGCCAGAAGCTAAACGATGCCTTAACAGCTCCGCTGACTCCAGATAGACAGGCGCACCCACGCAAGTGTGGACAGAAAACACACACGCACGTGCGCATGCATAAACGAATCTCCGCGAAGGGCAGGAATTGAAAGATGTTAACCATTTGCAACAGACAGACAGACAGAGGCAAGGGTTCTGACACTGGACATTGTTTCTTTTTTATCTACTGGTATAAGCCAAAACTTGTCCTGTCCAATGACTAAAGCTGCCAGCACCGCAGCCTTGGACATGAAATCAACGAGCAGCACAGTCACACAAAACCACAAACCCAACATGTATCTATCAATAATTATCCATATAATGTTGTTATGTAAGATGCAGAATAATTAGACTAATTAGACAAGCACACACCCTCGCCCTCGCGCGCGCAGACGCACACGACCCCCAAGGGAGCATCAGAAGTCGTTGGAGGGCCCACACACGCACGGCCTGGCCGCTGCCCTTCGACAGAGCGTTGGGCCTCAGCTTCAAAGGGGAGTTCAATTACATCTAATCTAGGCGGCAAAGATCGAAGAATGAAGTTAGGCATCAAGGAACAAATCCGCTCAGAATCAAAACAGACCGTCTCATCACCCATATGATGCGGTCCCGGAGCTCCCCTTTGCCTTTCAATACCCATGGCAAACATTTCCAAAACCTTGTTCGATTCCTCCCAACATGCGAAGAAGCGCTGTGTGACTTCTGTTCCCTCCTCCTCACACTGAAAAGAAACGTAATGTACGGGGCCTTTATCCTTTAAACAGGGCTTCGGTGCATACTATACAAGGCTATGATATAGGGACTACCTATGGAGGGGATATTTCTGACTCCACCCCAAACCCTAAACCCTTTAGGCAAAAACCCTTTAAACCCGCAGCCGGTAGCCGTGCATAGGCGAGGCAACGGATCCTCATCCTTCGAATAGCAGAGCCTGCCTCTGAACAATTCGCTGCAGTCTTCCTGTTGCAAATCTGACATTTGGGAGTTTCCGAAAATTAGGGGTACCTTATTTTGGGGTCCTGAAAATAAGGATCCTACTATTTAGGGTACTATACTTGGGTCCCCTATTTTCGGAAACTCCCATTTGAGCACGGCACATGATGAACCTCATAGAACATTCCAGTGGCAAGGCAGCCACAAACAGCAGCAATGATCATCGTAATCAAGACTAGTGACAGTAATCAAATGTATACCCAATAGTAGTAACAGTCATGATAATGGCACGGGCTTTCAATGCTTTCGGAATCTCAGACATACTAACGCCACGACGTGATCCTATTAATCCTTGTAACATTGTAGCAATCAGGCTACGCCCTTAACACCAAACCACTAGCGCCCCAACCCTAACCCTAAACGCCGTATTCCGAGCCCTGTAATAAGAGCGAGGCAAGGGCGGTGTGCATGCGGAGGCTCGAGGCCAGCATCGTCACCTTCGGAGCAGATAACGGCTTTAACAATAACACTGGTACGACTAATTTTAAGAAGAAGAATAATAAGTTTAATAGTCATATACTTTTAGAACTATTGTTGAAAAGATACAATCATACTTGTCGTAGCAGTAATACTAACAATACAGTACAATATCAACAATCATATCGGCCACTGTCTAAACGGCTTGCAAAAACTACGGTTGATGATATAACTCCTGCATTACCCATAAAAAGGAATATACCACAATTCCCATAGTTTAGGGTCCTTAAGGTAATGCAGGATTTCAATCATCAACAGTAGTGCAGGATTGGGAGCTCGATGGAGCTCCTATGAGTTCGTTTTGGAAGCGTATGATACGGGGGTTTCCGCAAATTAGGGGGGTACCTTTAAAGGGATCTATAAGGGCTCCTTTAAGGGATCTATAAGGGTTCTATAGAGGGTTTAGGGTTTAGAGTTTCCGCAAATTAGGGGTACCTTATTATGGGGTCCTTATAATGAGGATCCTATTGTTTAGGGTACTACATTAGGGTCCTCTATTTTCAGGAACTCCCATGTATACACCATGAAGCTCTAGGTCTTAAGGCCCTTGTCGGGGATTTCCGAAAATAGGGGACCCTAACATAGTATCCTAAATAGTAAGATCCTTATTATAAGGACCCCAAAATGTAGTATCCCTCATTTTCGGAAACTCCCTTGTGGGCAGTGTGGAGCCTGCCCATCAAGGTGGCTCATGGCGCGCTCCTCTGGCTTTCGTTTGCTGCAGAGTACTCACAACAACAACAATATAGGAGCCTTATTATTTAGAATAGGGTTCCCCTTAAAGAGATCCTGTTTAACGGGGTCTATAAGGCATACTATAAGGGTTACTATAGGGGTCTGGAATAGGGCCTTAACAATTAGAATAGGGTTTTGGGGCCCCTTATACTACAAATGTGAGCGAGAGGGGGGGATCCCGGGTGACTGGCGACGAGAAAAGCGGTATTATGCGCTCGGGCAGGAAACTCCACCAGCCCAAAGTTCGTTGCGGGTATGTATATTACATTATGAGTATGTGCAATTGTATATATATATATACATATATATATATGTGTGTAACCATTCTATATATATATATGTATAAGGTAAGACACTGATAAGATGGCAAGCACGGCAAAATGCCGTCCTGTTCACGTCATGCGCAGACGGTTTGAGGCAGTTTCAGGTATTGCTTAAGTTGGGATGAGCTACCTAACTCATGTCAACGAGAGTATACAGAGGCCCCTTTGCCGCGGACGTGCCCCGGAAATGTGCCACTCGTCAACGACTGCGCATTTGGTTTGGCGATGTTAGAGTTTTTCAGCGAAACAGCTGGCCTATCAGGCATCAAGGTACTGGGGCAGGTGCTGATCGAGGCTTCAAGATCAGGGGAGCTCTACTTCTAGCATTCTGCTCAGGTTGATGTCCTCGGCTATGGTTTCTGTTAGCACGGCCAGGGGTCGCAACCGCAGGCACCACGTGTGGCCCCTCACCACTAGAAGAAAAGGTCGGCCGTCTACCAGGAGCCGGTCGGAACAGCGCGCGGTTCTGCTAGGACCCACATTCACCGGAGGCTCGTGGCAAAGGCATCCCCAAAACACACCCCCACAGTCTAATCAGAAGAAACCATTTCACGACCTGCTGACTGCCAACAACCAAACAAGGCCAAGGGTATGAAAGCCTTATCTTCGGTTCGACGTGTCCTGCTGGAGAAAGCCGTCCAACCAGCCGGGTAGATCCTTGGCACGCAATATGTGGGCCCTCGCCAACCTTAAACCATGATCCATGGAACGGGTCAGGATTCCCACCGCGCAGGCCTTGCATCCAAATACAACATGCCTTAGAAGAGGGTAGGAATGATATGTACACAAACAAATAAATACATTCACACACACATATACATGTACACCTATAACCATATGTCTATATGTATATATATATATATATATATATATATATATATATTATAGATAGATAGATAGATAGATAGATAGATAGATAGATATACTTGTGTTGAATTTGCGTATATACATATACATATATACATGTGTGTATGTATATAATACTCATACATATTTAGCTATATGTAACATAACTAAACGAATAAAACAACTAGATGTAAATATGTACGTATTTGCACTTGTGCATATATATATATGTATACATACATGTAATATCGACGGACGAACCTGCACATGCTCTTGCTTGTTGTGCATCTGGTCGAAGGCCTAAAGAAACCCACCTTGGGGCAACTTTCCGGGCTTCCTACTATAGGTGCCTTAATCATCAGAACAGGGTTCCATCTAAAGGATTCCTTCTCAAGGGGTTTATAAGATTCCTATAAGGGTTATTATAAGGGTTTAATATAGGGGCCTTGTAATTAGAATGGGGTTTTGGGGCCCATTAAACTATAACTATGATACGGAACCCTCAAAATAGTATTGGTAATTGTTTAGGCCCCTATATTACACCCTCAACTCTACATCCCTAAACCCTGGAAGCCAGGGTTCCCTACACCCCAAACCCTCAAACCCCTAAGCCCTGAAACCCTACACCCTGAACCCTGAAACCCTAAAGCCGTAGACCCTCAACCCTGAAACCCTGTGCTCTACACCCCGACACGCTCAATTTTGCAACCCCGACACCCCTAAAGCCCCATACACCCTCCCTAAAGCCCTAAACCCTGAAACCCCGTCTAAGGGTTCCTGAGGGCCTTGCCCAAGTGCAAGGCTCGGCTGCAGCAGGTTTCCCAAGGCTCCGGTCCTGCCGGTTTAGAGTTTTTAATGGTTTTTGGTGCTTTCAAGAGGTTCGTAGCGGCCTTAACAAATGAATAGAAGTTTGCTGTCCTTCAGGATACTTTAAATGTTCCTTTTGAGGGATCTATGATATAGAACAAGGTTTTGGAGATACATTATACTATAGTCGTATTGGCGTTATAAAGGGATACTGCTGTGAATTATTCCGGCCCCTTTTTCAAACTCTTGGCTAACGTTGAGAGCTTGGGGCTTGAGGTCCAAGGTACAGCAGCTTTAGACTAAGTGGTTACGTATTCGGAAAATAGTATTTAAATTCGAAACGCTGACCGTAACTCCCCCTCTACTCGGAATGCCAGGTCCACATGTCCTGCACGGCCCGGTGTGCCGTCACGGCCTGCTCGTTGTAAGAGTTGAGCAGCTCCATATTATACAAATATGGAAATTAATGTCGGCGGGTGAGTAAACTCACATGAACTGCTTAACACACTGTCCCCCAGACAATATTTACGCAGAACTGATCAAGCCTTCACCCTAAGAGCGACTATGAAGCCTCTCACTATGACATGACATTCGCGAATGCACAGCTCGGCCTTTCGCAAGGCTCTTCGCGCACCAGCTGCGACTGCTCCTTGGCTTTGCAGCATTCACGGTGCAGCGTTTCAGATGCAGCCTGTAGCGTTCGTGGAAGTCGGCCGAAATGGTTTCGTGATTCAACTCAATGCAATGTAACTGTGCAACCACAAGTTTGGCACGTAGCAGACTACCATGAGGGCCATCTCGCGTCTTCGTGGGACCCGGTATCCCAGACTTCGAGATTCCCGATTCCGGGGCATTAATATAGGTGCCTTAATATTTAGAATAGGGTTTTGGGGCCCATTATACTACAAGTACAATAAGGAACGCTAAGGAATAGTATTCTTCTTCTTCGGTGGACTTCAGTGCCGCAACAAGGAATAGTATTGGTAACTATGTAGGCCTTTACCGGGAGGTTTCTTCAACAGCCGAGGCTCGCTGGCCGTGTTCCAATGCCAGCACACGCTTGGTGAGGCCTGCCGTCCCTCCTGCTTGAGGGGTTTAGGGGTTTAGGGTTTATAGGGCTTCGCCATGGGACTCAAGGACCAAATTGCTTGCTTGCTGTTCACGTCCCAGTGCATGTCTACTTCACATGCTAAACCTTAAGCGCAACCTGGCCGATCATCTCCTGTTGTGTCTAAGCACGGCCGCTTTGGCAGCGGCGGTGGCTTTGGCAGCTGCGCAACGCGTTCGGCAAGCGCGGTGACGCTGGAGTCCTCGGACATGTCTTTAACACCCGAATCAAGCTGCCGTGCAGCAGAAATTGTGGTAAACGCTTGAGGCCGGGGGGGAGTCTTCGCCCATGGATTCATGCTCTGATCGAGAGACATAAGGAATGACTTCAGTCGTTGGATGGCACGCCAAGGGACGATGCGCTGTACGTCGCTGCAAACTTGATCGAGCCTCCCATCAATGGCGCAGGTTCAAAACAGGCTCATCCAAGATGTTGCCCGAGTGTGCGCGCATGTGCACCCATGACCGTACACATGGACCTGACTGGTTGACACAGTTCTCAGTACAAACCATGTTTTCTGAACATGTCTAAACTATACCAAGCGAGGTGAAAGTCTCCAAGCCGGTGGCGCAAGCGGAACTCACACTGCCCCTTTCGTCAGCATTCCGGGCCTTTCTGCCAGATGAAGCAGGGCCTCGTGCAGCATGCGGCTGTACGCATCGTTGGCCGCTGGCTCCGTCATGGCGACGACACCGATGCAGGAGCACATGCCCCTAACAGCAGCCCTGTGCCTGCAACGTGGCTACCAATACTTGCTGCCAAGCGCGTAGAGGCGTCTGGCAGTCAGCGCACTCATTTGTGCATATTGCTTCTACGAGCAGGTGTTTGCCCATCCCCATTTCTGCTGTCTATAAGGGATCTATATGGGTACTATACTCTTATATGGGCTTCTATAGGGGTTCTATAAGGGTACTATACTCTTACATCGGCGGTGCGAGTGCATGGGTACAGTTGGAGACACCGAGGCTGCGACTGCTCTGCTTTGAGCTGGGGCCGAGATTTGTCACCGGCACTGTTGAGGATATAGGGGGGTTAGGGTTTAGGGTTTAAGGGTTTAAGGGGTTCAGGGGTTAGGGTTTAGGGTTTAAGGGTTTAGGGTCTAGGGGTTAGGGTTTAGGATGGTTTAGGGTTTAGGGGTTAGGGTGTAGGGTTTATAGGGTTTAGGGTACCCATAGACCCCATCGTAGTTCTTTTATATGTAGAATCCTATAAGGAAATCCCAAAGAGGAACTGTTTCGTGAGTCCTGCACACAGCCTTGCCAATTGTACCATACCATTCGTCGATTCACATGCTGTGCACTATTCGGTTTTGGACATCCTATTGCCGCCTTCAATCCGGTGAGACGTGGTATCACGGCTGGTCTGCTGCTCTCCGTGTTATGCAAGACAAGCACCCCCTCAGCACCAATCTCACAAGAGCTCCTCACTGCTTGATCCTACGTGGACCACATCTTCGGGGGATATTTAAACTCAGAACAAAGTTCTTTGAGGCCAAAAATACTAGGATACTATTCCAACGCCTATATAACTTCGTATTTCTTACCTCTCACTGTTCAATACCGCACTTACTCTGCGCCTGTATTCACGAGCTCTGTCATGCCTGTGTCCCCAAGTACAGGGCTGCACAGGGTTCCGAGCAAGCATGCGCCCCACGAATGCTACCCAAACGATGGCTCGCTGCGACTATTTCGCAGGCACTATAAATTACACTGCTTGGGGCCGAAGCACGAATTGCTTGAGGGTTGGAAAGCAAACCGCGATAAGAGACTCCACGTGGCCATAAATATGGAGACAGGCAGCACATGACGACCATGCGCTAAAGCGGTGACACCATATGTACAAAGGCACTCCTGATGAAACACATTGTGTTTCGTCAGAGATGCACCGGGTGGGGACTCAGCTCTCGGCCAAGCTCGGCCCCAAAAGATTACCTCAGGCTGCACGACACTGAAGACCCAACAGCGACAGCGTCACCAGGTGCATCAGCACGGTCGAACTGAAGAACACTCAGAATGTTTTGCGGAGCCTCGATCAGTCGTACTGCAGTTCCCCCTGCTCTCGTGTAAGATCGAAACGCGGATTGCTGCCCCAGGAGCTTGATCGACGCTTCAGGCACGACCTTTGCGGGAAAGCAGGCAGCAATCAGATGCACAGGGCACAAGATTCATGCTGTTGCTCTCCCCGAAACCCTGCTGGCTTTCCCTAGCAAGACTTTGCAACTGTCATGGGGACCCTTAGGGGGGTAAGGGGGAGGGGGGTAAGGGACTGTACTTCCTGAAATAAGCCTTGTTAAATCCTTATTAGAAGCATTATAGGCATCAAGACGCCCTACCCTACCCCCCTCCCCCCTACCCCCCCTGAGGATCCCCATGAAACTGCCCTAAACCCTAAACCCCAAACCGCGGCCCTAGCAAGAGTTTTCAAGGAGGACCCGTAATAAGGACCCCTAGGTATATATATATATATATATATATATATATACCCTTAATATAGCTATTATATACCCATTATACAGCCCATTATAGGGTAGGGGCAACTGAGACCGTGGCCGAGGGCCTTTGACCTCGCGAGCATCCGGGAAGCTGCCCCACTTGGAGGCTTAGGGTTTAGGGTTTAGGGTTTAGGGCTTAGGGTTTAGGGTTTAGGGTTTAGGGCTTAGGGTTTAGGGTTTAGGGTTTAGGGTTTAGGGTTAGGGATCAAAAATGTTCCTATCAGGGATATCTAAAGGCTCTGTTAAGGGTTCTCTTGGGTTACTTTAAAGGGGTGGCTGTCAAAAATTAGGGTCCCTGTTTGGGTACCCTAAATAATAGGTGCCGCATGACAATAGGGACCCAGAAAGGAAGCATTTTTTTTGACAACCACTCACTTCGCAGCTCAGGGCTTGAGGTTTCCTTCAAGGGTTCTATAAGGGATCTATAGAGGATCTATAAGGGTTCTTTTTGGGGTTTATTGGGGGATCTGTAAAGGAACTACACAGGTTGAGGGGTTTAGGGTTTAGGGGTGTAGGGTTCATGGTTTAAGGTTTCTGGATGTCGTGCTGGCTACTGCTACTGCTAGGCAGAACAGCTGACATCTGCCACTACGACCTTCAACCCAATTAAGCTTCAAAGGTCATCGGCAGTCATTGGCATAGAACGTAGGACGTACGCAATCACGACCTTAACCTGTGGCGTTGGAAAGTCTGGCCTCTTGGAGGCATCAGCGTCGACAGTCGCTGTACCTGCCGAGGCATTCAAGCGACCCGAAACCTCGCCCGTGTCCCCAACGGCTCAGTATCGCGCAGAGGGGGCCGCAGCATTACCGGGTTGGTCAGACCTGGCCGAGGCGAAGCTTGACAGCTCCACAAGAAATGACGATGAAAACAACGATGCTTGTGATCATCGCGAATTCACTGCCAATGATGTCTTCGAGCCAACCATTGAAACGACCACAATGTCAGGAACAACAGCTGCCTTCAAAGTGACGATGACCGAATCGCATGGATGCGTAGTCTAATGATGATGTTTGTGATGGTAACGGATGAGGATGCCGTTTCTCTGCTGGTGATGATGACGATGCTGATAGTGATCTTGATGATGCTGGGAGCAGTGCAGATGATAAGTCTCTTTACTCTCTGTGATCGTGAACGCCATTTCTTTCTTGATAACCATTCCCAACTAGCAATGAAATGCATCATTTCGGCGTAGGTCGTTGCTGGGTGTCTCTGCGAGACAGATCACGAAGCACCAACTTACCACGTAGATTCGTAGATTTTGGCTCGGGCTCGAGCTCCGAGGATGTGTCGACGCCAGGAACCTGCACAGAGCACATCATATGAAAAAAGTGCTGCGTCTGAGCCCTACATAGATTTAAACATTGGTATCGGAAGACAAGATTTGCCGGCAAACCCTCTCGATCCTCATGTAAGTGATGTATGCAAGCATACACAAGTGGAAACACCGACACATGGGTTAGTAACGGTTAGTATGTCGGTAAGTAGGTTGGAAGGTAAGAGACACAGAACCAAGCAACCCGGTAGCTGGTAGCTTTCCACTTCAACACACGAACAGCAGTAGCCGGCAAAGCGACCTAGTAACCTAGTAGAAGCCTAACGCATCAGGAAACCCCGAACCGGACGCAAACCGGAACCGAAGCGCCATTGACTGCACAGCCAAATGAACCGCAGGAACCGGGAACCGCGAACCGATCTACAAAACCGAAGCCACCACAAACCGAACCGAACCGCATTCCAAAACCCCCGCAACCCCATCCAGTTCCTGCCCTCAACCCCCAAAAATCTTCGGAAAGATACACCATGTTGGGTAAGATGAACCGAAGTATTGGGACAGGCACACATGCAGGTAGCTGCAGGTAGCTCGTCAAACAGAAGGAGCCTAAACCCTAAACCCTAAAGACCCTAAAGACCCTAAACCCTCAAGGCCCTAAACCCTAAAGTCCTAAAGACCCTAGACCCTAAACCGCAGCAGCCCCGATCCCACCTCGGTCAAACCAGTCTCAAGGATGGAGGCTCGCACGGCCTGGAAGTCGGGGCGAAAAACTCCGTGAACTGTAGGCTGTATTGGGGTATAAACAAACAGATATAAACATAAATATTAATATAAATATAAATATATATATATAACAAAACATAATGAAATATGAGATGACCCAAAATAGTTTAATACACTGTAGAATGAGATAATATTGTACTGTATCATGTTAAAGTATATCATATTACAAGAGACTGTACATATGCATATATATACGTATATACATATCGTATGTAAAGATAATATGTAAACATAAGCATATATATATACACACACATGATCGTGACAACCATGTGCCGGTGTTTGCGGAGTGTATGAGGCTTGCCGAAGGTCAAGTAACGCGTCTTCGAGGGTGGAGGCTGCTGCGGCGTTGGGTGTGTCTTTAGCCTTTCCTGACCACGGTTTCGGGGTTGAGGGTTTAGGGGCTTCGGGGCTTAGGGGTTTAGGGGATTTGGGGATTGGGGGTTTAGGGGTTTAGGGGTGGAACCTGCCAGCGAGATGGGCGTTCAGGGTTTAAGGTTGACTTCCGGGGCTCGCGGGCACTGGGAGCTTTGCTTCCGCGGACGTTCCGATCTTCGGTTCTAGGCAGAGAGATTGGAATTTTTTAAACACAGCCATCCTATTAATATTAATACTAATACTAATATAGTACTAATACTAATAGTAATACTATTATTAATATTAATACTAATAGGGTTTAAGGATGTAGGCCTTTGGATCCAGCCGTCCTGAACAACAGCAGGATTCGTGCCGTGACTTCTCACTGAAGCCCTACCACCCTACCGCAAGCCTCCAAGACGGAACTAGTGAAGCCATACTCATCCCAGCCGCCCATACTGTATACGACATACTATTTACTATATACTGTTATATACTACTATCTACTATATACTGTGTAAAACTTTGAGGCTGCCGCCCGCGTCATCAGCTTGGACCCCTCCGAACCATGCGAGAAGGCCGACAGCGACCCGTCGGACCTGAAATTATAACCGCTGAGTTTAGGATTAGGTTAGGGTTTAGGGTTTAGGGTTTTAACATGAGGCATATGCAAATAGGTATCATGTGTGTATGCAGATAGGTGGATATATGAATGAACAACAACATAGTTACTTGATATTTTATGCACATACAGTCACATACACATGTATGCCAAACTCGCAACTCTTTTGGCTTCGGGCTGACTACCACTGGCTGAGATGTTCGCATGGATACAACAGGCTGTGGAACGAAATATCAATCGTCGACGCCCCTGCCTGTGAGATCTCGGCGTGTGCCTTGCGAACTCACATGAGTGTCCAGCGCTTGCTCACTAAACCCCAGATGTGGCAAGCCGTACCTAAACCCGAAATCCTGAACCCTAAACCCTAAATCATAAACCCTACACCCTGGACCCTGAACCTCAGATTACTGAGCATGTCGAGGCTGTACCGCTTGTGCTTCTGCGACGCAACCTGGCAAAATCGCTGGTGCAGTCAGCAGAGCGCGCCTGCTCGTGGAAGTTTCTGACCTCGATCACCGGAGCAACTCGAAAGTTGTGATATTTTTGGCTAAGCCGCGCATAGCCGCGCCACCCTACAGTAATTTACTACTTAACTTATATATATATATATATATATATATATATACTCTTCTATATATTACATATATATATATATACATATCTACATACATCTATATATATATATACATATCTATTTATCTGTATATATATATATATATTATGAAACCGAAATCTGTGCTACACCTCGCTGGTGATTGCGCCCGCGATCCTCCGCGAGAGCCCGCTCGGGAGCTCTCCACAGAGTTCCGACCTTAGGGGAGCCGGCGTTCAGGGTTTAGAGGTTTGGGTTTTTTTTGGGGGGGGACCTTTTTCCAGTGCATGGAGAGCCTCAATGAGGCAGGCCCGGTTCAAAGGTTTTAGGGTTTGGGGTTTAGGGTTTAGGGTTTGGGGTTTACAGTAGAAGCCCAAACGTTGGAAACCCAATAGCCTCAATCCTTAAGAGTGATATACAGCAAATCCCAGCACTATTTGGCCTTAATCCGGTTTCCAACTTTCTGGGGTTTACTGTAGGGGTTCCGGGTCTAGGGTTTAGGGTTCAGGGTTAGGGTTCAGGGTTTAGGGCCACCTTAACCCGAAATTAGATACCTTTGTTAAGGACCTATATAAGGAAATCATAATGAGGAACCCTAAGAATGTAATTAGGTTCCTAAGAAGGGTCCAGGCATGGAATACTGAGAAACATGACGATGCGATGTGGCAAAACTCAGCCTTCAGACTGCTTTCAGAGCCATGGCAGCTGGCACAACGGTGCCGTGCACAGAAGGAACCCTATTCTAATTATTAAGGCCCCATATTATCGAACCCTAGTATATAGACCCCTTGTAGAATCCTTTCAGGACCGCTTTGAAGGGAACCCTATTCTGACTTGCTTCAATGCACAACCGAGTCGACGTGATTTCAAGACCCTGACGTGAACCTGGAAGCGTCCGTGAGGAGCGCATGCTGCTCCTTCAGCTACGCTTTCAGGTTCATACGGGGTCTGGGCTTCGGCCCAGGATAGACAAAAGGGTGAGCATGAAGGCATCACGCTGTTCAGAATTCTGAGGAAAAATCCCAAGCTCTGGCACAGTCAGAGTCTTCGGCTTGGAGCAGCAGCAAGGACTGCCGTCAAAACCCGGAAATCCGAAGGCAGCTTCGGGCAAGGAAGATGATGCTTAGAACAGAACGCGTACCGATGATGACTATGACAGGAGCAGGGCTGGTGGCCCTTGTAATTAAAAAATATGGGGGTTTCCGAAAATTAGGGGTACCTTATTTTAGGGTCCTTATGATAAGTATCCTACTATTTAGGGTACTATATTGGGGTCCCCTGTTTTGGGAAATTCGCCTATGGGGAAGATGTGCATAAGCTCGGCATCGTCATGATGTATGTTACGTCGCCTCCACCGCCATCACCTTCGCATTGAAAAACGTCTTCTTCTCCCTCCAGCCCTACCTCGACCTGTAGATACCTCCCCCACTACAATTACCAAGGTTCCTACTGCAAGCACTACTATTACCGCCCCATACCGCCCCTCTTGCTGTGTTGCTGCTGCTGCTGCTGCTACTGCTGCAACAACAAGAAGGATCAGCAAATCCGCTGCTAATGAGGCTGCCTTCCTTGTCTGTGCCAGTAACTGTTTTGGAATCACCAGCAGCAAAACCCGTAAAGGAACAACGACGAGCAGTAGACCTGGAAAAGTACAACAACGACACCGCAGCAAGAATCGCAACCTCCATGATGAGCAAAACTGACTGAAAATACATATGATCCACCCTAAACCCTGAACACTATCCGAAGCTGCATGACCGTCTAAACCCATGCGAAGAATAGGAGCCAGACATGAGCTCCATTCTTGGGCGTCAGAAATGCCCTTCGATGCTGAATTCAGTAACGAGAAATGTCCCCGGGTCGCAGTCCTGGAGCTGGCCAAGGACCTTTGCTTTGATCAGCTTCGGAAGTTGTGAAGCCACAAGGTGGTATACTTTTTGGGAATTTTGGGCCTGGCACCTACCGAGCACTGCTGGGTACGGCTGACAGATCAGCAGGTTTGCAAAAGCTGGCAGGGCTGCAATTGCTGTTGATGCTCAGGGCGCAAGAGAAGGGTGTTCGACAAAGCTGCTCAAGGGTGTCTCCACATAGAACAACGTGCACTCCCTCTTCGAAGAAGCATATATGCACCAGGTCGGCATGCCATGGCAGCTTTTTCTGAGGCAGAGCACACGCAGCTGTCAAGCCCCGCTGTACACTGTACATGCATCTGGGAGCTGCGGAAGAGGACAAAGCATTGACGTAGCAGTAGTAGTGGTAGCAGTAGTAATATCAGTAGTGGCAGTAATTAGTGGTAGTAGTAGTAGTAGTGGTAGTAGTAGTAGTAGTAGTAGTAGTAGTAGTAGTAGTAGTAGTAGTAGTAGTAGTAGTGTAGTAGTAGTAGTAGTAGTAGTAGTAGTAGTAGTAGTAGTAGTAGTAGTAGTAGTAGTAGTAGCAGTACATCTGTACCCTGGACAGACTCTCTTTGCCGTCCTCCACGAGCAAGCACTGACAGTGTCAGTTTGCAGATGCCGGCGCGATGGCTCTGCCCTCGCCATGCTGAGATGTCCTTCAGCCTAGGACTTACACTGTTGAAGACATTCCGTGTTGGAGGATCCTGCTGATGGTCGACCCTTCTCCGCACGACCAGCCGCAACTTTCAAGTCGGGCTTCCTCGAACCTGAAACCCTAAACCATTTCTACGTCGGTGATGTGTCATGTTAGACTTTGACCGGCCTCTTCGGATCCATCTCTGGAACATGATGATAACTCAACTGAGCCATCTACAAAACTCAGTCTGAACCTAGAAATACTACCGAACTAAGAATACCACCAACAGCTACTGCCAGATCTGATCTCTGACCAGCTGGAACTTCGAAAGATTCCGTCGCCCACCTCGTAGTCGCTCCTTGCGCCGCGCCATCTGGACATCCCTCACGAATCGATGTTTGTGGCTATGACACCTCTTACTCTGAGATTCGTGCGACTTGCCCGACTCATCAAAGCGGAGACGATGCTGATGATTTTGATTATATACTGTAGCCATGATGACAGCCGAAATGAGCGCCGTGATCGCGACAATGCCCATGGGGAAAGCTCAAGGGCTTGCGAGCGCGGTTTACATATCCGAAACGACCATGTTCGAAGGAAGTCCCACTGAACAAAACAACTTAAAACCCTAACTCTTAAACCCTTAGAGCATCCCAATTAATTACTCTGAAGATCCCTATAGCCCCAAACCCCAAACGGATCCCAATTACTCTGGATCCATCTCGGATTTAACGGTCGAAGGCTCCAAAGAGCTCACCGGTCCGAAACCACCCGCAATCCGAAGCCCGAGCGCTCCCTGAACTGACTGCAATGTAACATATATGGGAGTTTCCGAAAATAGGGGCACCATATTTTGTAGTCCCTTTAATAAGGATCCTACTATTTAGGGCCACCATATTAGGGTCCCCAATTTTTGGAAACTCCCATATTCAATATTACGTACTATGTACTACGATTGTATACATTATGTAGCAATGTATTATGTAGTATGTACGAGTATTTTATAAGATGTATTGTATAGTGTATGTGCGTATATGGCTATTTTATATCTGCCTGCCAGACAGTGCCCCGAACCTGCGTGGCATTCGCCGCGCCAAGCGTGCAGAGTGTGAGTCGTAGCGACGACTTGGCTCGAATGCCACACGGCGGCAGCTGCGGGTATTAGCCTTGCGGAGGCTATACTGTGGTTCTTCTAGCGTGGATTCTGCTTCTGGTCATATCTTCTGCGAGGAATGTTGAAGTCGATATCCTCGTACCCATGAATCGCATTGGTGAGGTTGCTGTCGTTTCGCTACTGCTTTCTTGCGGTTGCTGAAACTGGCTATCACTGTTGACATTGAGGTTGCCGCCATGATTGTAGTCCGCAATGAATTGCTGTCGCTCTTGCTGCAGTTGTTGACTCAGCCGGTCGCGGTTGGAGGGAGAAACCACATCTGGACAGTCGCTTGGTGTTGGGAAGAGGCGGGGTTCATGCAACTTTGAAGACTATCCCTTCGGGGCTTTAATACCTCAACACTTACGTCCCGGATCTTACACGTCTGCGACCTGTCCATTGCCCAACCAGAATCGCGTTAGGGATTCAGGGCTCCAGGTCTGTACCAACCGCAAGCATCTGCTGACCCCTGTTGTTCCTGGCTATGAGTATGCTGATGACGAGGATGCTGCGGATGAACCTGACGACAGTAATGGATATCACTGTCGGAGCTTGAAGATCTTGCTGGCTTCTTTGACTTGGGCACAACCCATATCTGCAGCAGTAGGAGTAGGAGTAGGAGCAGCAGCTGGAGTAGGAGTAGGAGTAGGAGTAGGAGTAGGAGTAGGAGTAGGAGTAGGAGTAGGAGTAGGAGTAGGAGTAGGAGTAGGAGTAGGAGTAGGAGTAGGAGAAGCAGCAGGAGCAGCAGCTGGAGCAGGAGCAGGAGCAGGAGCAGGAGCAGGAGCAGGAGCAGGAGCAGGAGCAGGAGCAGCAGCAGGAGCGGGAGCAGGAGCAGGAGCAGGAGTAGGCCTAGGCCTAGGCGTAGGCGTGAGTAGGAGTGGTGGTGGTACTGGTACTGGTAATGGTACTGGTAGTAGTAGTAGTAGTAGTAGTAGTAGTAGTAGTAGTAGTAGTAGTAGTAGTAGTAGTAGTAGTAGTAGTAGTAGTAGTAATAGTTGTTGTTGTTGCTGTATGGCTTGTAGTAGTAGTAGTAGTAGTAGTAGTAGTAGTAGTAGTAGCAGTAGCAGTAGTAGTAGCAGTAGCAGCAGTAGCAGTAGCAGTAGTAGTAGTAGTAGTAGTAGTAGTAGTAGTAGTAGTAGTAGTAGTAGTAGTAGTAGTAGTAGTAGTAGTAGTAGTAGTAGTAGTAGTAGCAGTAGCAGTAGCAGTAGCAGTAGTAGTAGTAGTAGTAGTAGTAGTAGTAGTAGTAGTAGTAGTAGTAGTAGTAGTAGTAGTAGTAGTAGTAGTAGTAGTAGTAGTAGTAGCAGTAGCAGTAGCAGTAGCAGTAGTAGTAGTAGTAGTAGTAGTAGTAGTACTAGTAGTACTAGTAGTGCTAGTAGTACTAGTACTAGTAGTACCAGCAGTACCAGCAGTACCAGTAGTACCAGTAGTACCAGCAATACCAGTAGCACCAGTAGTGCTAGTAGTAGTGGTACTAGTAGTAGTAGTAGTAGTAGTAGTAGTAGTAGTAGTAGTAGTAGTAGTAGTAGTAGTAGTAGTAGTGGTAGTGGTAGTGGTAGTGGTAGTGGTAGTGGTAGTGGTAGTGGTAGTGGTAGTGGTAGTGGTAGTGGTAGTGGTAGTGGTAGTGGTAGAAGTAGTAATAGTAGTAGTAGTAGTAGTAGTAGTAGCAGCAGCAGCAGCAGGAGTAGTAGTAGTAGTAGTAGTAGTAGTAGTAGGTAGTGGTAGTGGTAGTGGTAGCGGTAGCGGTAGCGGTAGTGGTAGTGGTAGTGGGAGTGGGAGTGGGAGTGGGAGTGGGAGTGGTAGTGCTGGTGGTCGTGGTCGTGGTCGTGGTAGCTGTAGTGGTAGTGGTAGTGGTAGCTGTAGTGGTAGTGGTAGTGGTAATGCTAGTGGTGGTAGTGGTAGTAGTAGCAGTAGTAGCAGTAGTAGCAGTAGTAGCAGTAGTAGCAGTAGGAGCAGTAGTAGCAGTAGTAGCAGTAGTAGTAGTAGTAGTAGTAGTAGTAGTAGGGCTGGAAGCGAACAGCAACTTGGCATTGTTAGTGTTTTTGCCGATGGTAATGATGGTGATGCCTGAGCTAGCAGTGTTGATGATGCTGATACCTCTCCCTGTTCCCCCTGCTCATTATCATCTGTACGGTATCGGTATCGTCACCAACACCAGTATCATGACCTCATCCTGAGCATCTGATCTAGTCGATAAACAGGCTTGTGATCAGCCGGCTCAGGCCGGGAGCCACAATTACCCTCGCAAGCCCCTGCCTTCGCAGTGTCCCGCTTGCGGTTCCTTAGAGAGCTCCGCCGATGTGTGTGTTTACAGTGTTTTACAGCAGCGGAAGTTTACTCTGATGGTTGGTGATGAGGGCTGTTGCGCTGAATCCTTGGATCGTGTTTGGCCCCAGCCGTAGCACCTTCCCTCAGCCCCCGGACGGAAAACCTGAGGCACAGATCTGTTTACTGAACTTCTTAAGCCCCAAACCCTGAATGCTGTACTTACCCAAACTTATATACTAAACAACCACGAAAGTTGGGCCGGCTCTTGGATCGGATTAGGCCGGGGCTCTGCGTCTTCTTCTGGTAGTACTCGCCGATTGACAGCCCACAGTCGCCTCGTTCAAGGCCTTCAACCCAGCCCCACTCATCGTAGTAGTAATACCCGTAATCCCCCCACAGCCAATAGGGATCTCTGCGGTTGCTGCCACAGCCGGTCCAGATTGTTTGCTTATTTTGGCTGAGACGGTAAGAAAGCACCCGTGACCGCGCATGGGCGAAGGATTCCTGGATGTCTGGTACCCTTGAGATCCAAGTGTCAAAGGTCAAGAAGGCACCGGGCCAGCCAGCCCAGAGATGCTCCCCGAAGCTCTGAACCGAGGCCTTGTTTAGGCCACTTTTTTCAAAGACCTCCTCCTGGCTAAGTTTCACGAACTTGCCTCCCAGGAGTGCCAGCTGAGTCGCCACCCTTGACAGGCACAGCCGTGCCTTGGCAAGGGCCGTTTGAAGCTCGCCAGAGGAGCGGGCACGCTCGATGCGGCTGTTCCGCAGGCGGCAGCACAGCTTTGCGAGGTCCACGTCCTCCTCCCGCTCCTGGGAGCCGAAACGATCGCAAGCCGCAAGGAAGCCGAGCGCACAGTCAAGTGCATCCTCTCCTGTAGGCGATGCTCTGAACCTGTTCGCTCCACGCTGCAGAAGTAGTTCTGACAGTCCGACCAATCCACGGCAGCAGGCAGTCTGAAGGGGCGTGAAGCCATCTAAGGACTGGCCGTTCACGTCGGCGCCGCCATCCAAGAGCAGACACCCCAGATCTTTGGCCTCGCTTCGGGGGAGGCTACGTGCAGCCATCTCCAGCAAGTTGTCCCCGTTGTAGAAGAAGTCCACTTCCCCTAGCAAGATGCGCTCTTTCGCTGCAGGCTTCATCGCCGGACTTCGGCACAGCACATCTCGTGTGATCCTCTGTCTGGTTCTTAGTCGGGAATGGGGGAATGGGTTATGGGGACTCTTATCGGGGATTACATAGGGACGACTACTATGGATCCACTCCCCCATTACTAAGCGCCAGGGAGTCCTGTGCCGAAGCAGGGACCACAGGCTGGCACTGCGAGATGCCACCTCTGAGGGGAGCGGCACCTCAGAGAGTGTAGTCACAGTAGGTCTAGGGGCCTTAAGAATTAGCATATACAGAGGTTCCTTGAAAGGGATCCTTAAAGGGGTAGAAGGCCCCTACATTAGGACTGCGAGCAAGCTGTAGTGTCCACAAACCTGACTGCACTAGACAATGCGGGGAAACTAGGGAATGAGGAGACCTCAACCAGCAAAAAGAAGGTCACGGAGCTGTTTAGCACGATTGTAGCTCTATGCTGGTGACATCTTCAACCTATTGACGGCAGCTTTTGCTTGGCTTGTTGAGGGCGAGAGCTGTTCAGTGTGCTTTTTGCTTGTTGAGGGTGTGATGTCGACTCGTGCTGAGCACTGTCTGCTTTCATTCTGTGGGGGTGGAGTGCCAGGGTTTTGGCGTTAGGGGAGTGTTGGCAGCTTATGATGATGGGTTTAGGATTCCAGAATGCCGCGATTTTTTATATAATGTAGGGGCCTTAGTAGTTATAGAATAGGGTTTTGGAGCCCATTATACAATGAGTATAAGGAACCCCCCAAAGTAATCAGGTGCTTGTTAAGGCCCCTTTTGTATGTACATAGGAAAATTTGCCTAACCAGGCACTCGATACCATGGACCTGTAAAGCTTCACCAAGAATCCTGGTCACGGATGGTCACGGAAGAAAACAGCACTGAATCGGCATCAATAAGCACTCTTTAAGATGAGCCTGTAGCGCTTCATTAAGGTTTCGGGCTTCCTGAAAAAACGGGACTCGATAAATAGCGACACTTCAAGATGGGCGTGCAACGCTTCATTAAGATTTCGGGTTTATTGAAAAAGTGGAACTCAAAAGGCTTCAATAGCAGTAGCAGTAGCAACGCTTTAAGCTCTAAAGAGGCTTATTCAGGCACACTGCAGGCTTCAAAAGCGGCTCTTTAGGGGTTCTGATCTCAAGCCCTAGTATACTCCCTCGAGCATATTCGCCTTTCGGCTTCACTATTAAAGCCTTGTTTTATCAATCTGCGGTCCCCCTTTGTGTGACCTCCTATGATGAATAATGGTGAAGAAGACAGCGGCACTTTTTCCCTAAACCCTAAACCCCTAAACCCTAAACCCCTAAACCCTAAACCCCTAAACCATAAACCCTTAAACCTGAAAAGCTTGGGCGCTGTCACCGTCAGGACTTCCAACTCGTGAGCCTCTGTGGGCACCATGTCCTCGAGGCGTCCTGCGCTGATCGGTTTAGGGTTTAGGGTTTAGGGGTTTAGGGTTTAGGGTTCAGGGTTTAGGGTTTTTTTGGAAGTGAGTGAAGGACGGCTCCAGCTTTCGATGGCCAGCACTGCTGGGTAGTTTTTAAATCCCTCAGTCAGGGAGGAAACAAAGAACACCGCTGTACACCATTATGCCCTCTACATCTTCAGTTTGGCAGCTCATCTTGTCAAGCTGTTGTTCACTGCGTCCTCTCTTGTCCAGGATCTCGCCGTCCAGCAGCAGACGGAGCTGCCATGTCGACACCCCCAGACTCCGGCTCACCTAGGGTCTACGAATCGTCTTGGGGACAGGATCCAACGACATTCATTTGTTGAGAAGTCTGGGTTCGAGTTTGAATGTGTGATGTGGATTGAACCCTTCGTGCGGGTTCTGGCACTTGCTCTTCGTCAAACAACATATCGCAAGATTTCGGTGATATTGCCGGTGGCAGGCGACAATATCAAAAAAGTACAATCCCGCAGGGAGCTACACTATAGCTACAAATGAACAAGAACCCTAACGACCGCAACACGTCCTCTGCAGCTCTGGTTGCTTGATGGCGTAAGTAGAGCAGGCTGTCGTCGCTGTGCATTGAGAACTCTACCGTCTTTCCAGCCATGGTACTCGCCAAAACCTGGAGCAAGCTGGAACATGCCACCGGGCTATGCAAACCACAGAAGTTTCTCCTGATCCATGATACGGACTGTCGTCGTTGTGTGAGCTTAGCGGAGGGAGGGAGCGAGAGAGAGAGAGAGAGAGAGAGAGAGAGGGTCATGTGTAGCCGCGTGGTTCATTGTAAGTATCAGCATCATCACGCGAAGAAGAGACTTAAAGCCAGCATATGGTCACAGTGGGCCCTGCACACACTCACGCTCAAACTCTGCTCGCTCTTTCTTTGTCTCTGTCTCTGTGACGGACTCTCTCCCGCCCTCGCTCTCCCGCTCTCCCGCTCTCCCACTCTTGCTGTCTTTCTCTCTCTCTCTCTCTCTCTCTGTGTCTCTCTCTCCCTATATTAGATGCAGGAAAGCCACTTGGAGTCGACGAGTCTCCATTGCGACGAGACCAGGGGCAACAAATCAGGGACACACGAAGGGCGCTGGCTACGTTTCGTGGAGCCACGGGCAAAGCAGGCAAGTTCTAGTCGAGCTGGTGTCCGGTTGCATGCAACTTCGGAAAACTGCAGCTGGAGAGGAACCGCTAGTCGCTAGTGTGTACCTTGCCACGAAAAAGAACCGACGAATTGTGGAACTTCGAAGCTCATGCTCCTTTCAGCGCCCCTGGCCCAACACATTTCAAGTCGATGCCGAGCTGTGAACTCGCCGCGCTTTGGACGCCTTTCGGTGCCACCTGCGGGCATCTGCAACTGTCCGTGAAAGAAATGCGAGATGCATTTTGGCTTAGTTCGGCTATGGCAGCACTGACATTCTGAAAGCGGACCTGTGAACTTCGCACAGCCGAAAGCTTGAACTTAAAAGGCCAACCCCCCGGGTCCAAACAACTGTGGCCAGAATGACACTAGCCCAAATCAAGATATTAAATGAGATCACACATGCTGAGCAGTAACTAACTTGTTGCAAAGCACGACGCAACAACAATCATCGTGGTCATCATCACTATCAACGGCAATCCAGCCGTACTGATAAATAGCTACCAAATCGAAGAAACTCCGGATAGTCAGTGAGTCGAAGTGTAGAAGTGCTGTAGAACGACCAAAGCAAGCATAACATCAATAGCATCAGCCATGCTACTTGCAAGGACGACCTTGCATTTTCAACGGCATGATGCTCTCCGCAATAGTTCTAACTAGCAAATACCCAGAGAAGCAGCAGGACCTAGGGTTAACGGGAACCAGACTCGTCGCACTTTAATAGCCAAGTTGCGCTGTGAACTTTATGCAACCGTTCAGTACTGATGGCTGAGACAGCTCTAACATAAACATCTTCGGGCCACCTTGGATACAGGCCACGTACTTGGTGGGCAGAAGCCTTCCACAGGAACGGCTGAGGGATGAAGTCACGGTCAAAAATTGGGCAGTGGTCAGGGTTGGGTTGCTATCTAGCAGCTTCGGTTTTTGAGGCCACAAGTGGCTACCTCTGAACATGCTCTCCAGGGCGATCATACATCCTATCCTCTTCAGATTTGAAGTGATGCTTAGCTTTCCGGGTTGCTTTGAGCCCGACGAATGTGGGCCTGAACGCCCGATCGGCACTGCACGGGAGATAGGCAACAAGAGTGCCAACAAGCCAAGAACGAATGGAGCGCAAGTGCATGACTCAAGTCGGACATCGCCACAACGATCCACAACGACATGCCGCTGCAAATGCAGACTGATGCAGCAGGCAGTGCGAATCTTGCTCGTCATCAGGCACTGCGGCTGTGCAGTGGATGTCTTTAACCTCTCTTCCGTGGAGACAACCGCTTCTGTACTGTCCGTGACAACCTTTGCCTTTGACCTACGCAACAGTACGAGTACCTAGCATTGAAACCCCGGCTCCCATCAAAAAAGTAAAGGCAGCAGCATGTGCAGAGTCTATCGCACGGTTCGTCCCTGGAGACCTCATATTACTACTATTACTACTATTACTACTACTACTACTACTACTACTACTACTACTACTACTACTACTACTACTACTACTACTACTACTACTACTACTACTATTACTACTACTATTATTATATACTACTACTACTACTACTACTACTACTACTACTACTACTACTACTACTACTACTACTACTACTACTACTATTACTACTAAGTGCAGGCCTCTCCACAGCAATGTGCTCCAGCGCGTAGCGGGAGGCTGGCTGTGGCTTTGGGTAGTCCAGAAGATCTGACTCCTGGAGTCGCAAAAGTGAGCGAGCAAGTAATATAGGGGCCTTAATAATTAGAATAGGGTTCCCTTTAAAGGGATCCTTACTGTTAAAAGGGTCTATAGAGTCAAAAAGGAATACTGTAATGGCTACTGTAGGGGTTTAGAATAGGGGCCTTAATAAATAGAATAGGGTTCGGGGGGTTATTCTACTATAACTATAAGAAGGAACCCCAAAAATAGTATAGGTAAGTGTTACGGCCCCTAGAGTAGGTCCTGTCTGCAACGACGCAGCAACAAAATTCAAGTCGAACCCCTGCAGTGAACGGTTTGCTGTCACCGTCCGGCTATGGATACATCCCAACCTTAAACCCTAAACCCTAAACCCCTAAACCCTAAACCCTAAACCAATGGTCCTCAGTCCAAAGAACCCCATGTCCAGAAGTGTTCTAACAAACGGAGCGTGGTTGCCTCCTCCAAGAAAGGCCAATGCTGACGCATTCCGACGATGACCTCCTCTTCTATTCCCAGGAGGTCCTGCATTCACTTGTGTGTCAGACGTTATGCGTTGCATCTTAACGTAGCCAGGGGGACACAGTGAACTGAGACACATTCTAGGTGATTCCACGATGACCCCTCTCTTGGCAATTGCGGCCACGCACACGCTGATCACGCAAACTGAGTCGAATGGCGGGCATGTGCCGCAACAGTGGCTTCCTGAATCCAAGCCTGCTCAGCCCCAAAGGAAACCTGCAAAAGCAAGTCTCTGAAAGGCCGGAACGGGACGCTTCCGCTCGCACCTCCCAGCCATCCATCCTGAAGCGAAGCTTTAGCATCCTCGGCGGACTTTCCGTGTGCAGATGGCGTAACGGGCTTCTCTCACAAGTTCCATTCTGCTCATGTCGGGAAGAGCGACTGTAAAAATTTGGGATCAGCCTGAGCCGCTGGTTGTCAGACTTTGGAGTGCACAAACGACGATGATGATAATGATGATCATAGTCCTCCACAATGACCATGGCCATCGTGAAACCCTAGACCCTAAAACCCTAAACCATGGCAACAAGAAGACATTCGCCGAGCAGCTCCAGGAAATGATCGCGAAGACGGGGCTTCTCGTTCTTCGCCTTGTGGTGTTGGGTTTTGAGGCTTGGGGCTATATAAGTTTGGAGCTTCGAGTTCAGGAGTTTAGGTTCAGTGAGAGATCAGAGGCAGAAGTGAACCCTAGGGTAAACTTGCGCTGGGACATGGCAAAAAGTGAGGAAAAAGCAGGAACTTATCGGTGCACTGCCTGGCAGCTGCTTCCTGAAGCTATGCTTCCCTCTGCTGACTCAGACCTTGCAGGAAGATTTCATTGTCTCCGAATCTCAGGCAACTTCAAATCGGTTTAGGGTCTAGAGTCCAGGGCAGATGCGGATACCAAACCCTGGTCCAAAGCAGTGGGAGATCGATTCCTCCCCCTTTAGCTTTCCGGTCAAGCCACCAGCTCGAGAACTTGAATGTCCCGCTGCTCTTGCAGCCTGGGCTGTAATGTTGCAAGCTATGACATGATGTACTACGTACAATGAAAAAGAAGATAGTGGAATCGTTGAAAGGATGGGGGTTCGTCTCTGAAGGTTCAGAATAGATGCTAGGTTGACACTCTTATATCCAATGGGAGGGAAAACCAATCGCACAAAGGCCTACCAAGGAAGAGTTTCGGCGACAGGTTTGTGCAGTAGGAACTGACAGTGTTGGTACTGCACGCGCTCGCAAAGGCTCCAGCAGTCTCGCATGCACCCTTGGTCCACTTCCACAAGGTCACAAGGGCCCAGCTCTTCACCCTTCTTCCCACGGAGTTTGTTCCTGTCGTCGGCCAATACACCCAAATGCTCAGAGACTACAGGTGGAGCGAGTGAGGGAAACAGTCTACAGGGTCACAGCCTCATGATCTGAGTTAGTCTCAACCACAAGCGCCAAGATCCCCATCCTCTCTCACGGCTCTCTCCTGAAACCCCAAGCGAACGTATTCGAAACGGAATCTCGGCAGGCTCCGCTTTCGAACTAATGCCGACACGATGGCTCATCTACGAACGGGATAGCGACATCACAACATGGGCTGCAACAGGACGACGACGACGAGCCCCAATGAGAGTATTGAGTATTGCTAGTGACTTGCTAGTACAACATTGGCAAGCCATGTAGACTTGCCTATATCATCAAACTACTAGGTGCTGGAGAGACAGAGACAAACAGAGTAATGCGTGCAGAAGGTCATGCAACCAGGTCAGGCATACCACCAGTCTTGCGCACCTTTGCATGGTTACTTTGGAGGGCGTTCGCCCGAATTACAGCGTGTTGCTTGTATCTTTGGGCAATGGGGCCTTTGTTGAAGCTCTGGTCATCTGTGAGACGGGTTTGGTGGGCAGTTGGATGTCCAACAAAACCGAAAACATCTGGCGAGCAAAGGTACAGTGTTGCATACTCACCAGGCATTAGCCGAATTATATGGCACCCAGGACATGATTTGCTCACCGCTCTCGAACGACCCAGCTGACCATGCAAGACCTGAGGGACCGCAACCGAAAAGGGAACTTCAGGATGCGGATGCGAGGTTTTGGTATAAACATGAGAAGTATTTGGCCAGAAAACCTTCCGTCCAAGCTATAATGGCAGTTCGAGTAAGCTGCCGCTACGCTTCATCTGGGGTGGTTCCTGATTGCTTTCAATTGCTTTCCCTGGCTAAATAGACCTGCTTGGTCCCAGAGCAAGCACTCGATTGCTGCGTGCGCAGAGACGCATGCCTGTACCTAACCGTACAGCGGAATTGAACAACGGAAACCATGTCACATATCGAGTCTGGATCGATCGGTTCAGCACTTGTCTCCGTGAGGATTGCGGAAAACTAGAACTTGAGAAGCCTGCACTACAGTACAGCCGAGGGCAGTCCACTGAATTAAGTGTCCTTATGGAAGCTCTTCCAAATTATAGGTTCGTTCTGAGGTACCTTGCGCCTATTGACGCGCGAATCCCAAAATGCACCCATCGCGTAGCGTAGAACAGCCCCAAAAACCCCAACGATAAAACAAACACATCCAACCTCAGGCTGTGGCGCTTAGCGAGCTTCTTTGACTCTTGCATGGCTTGCTTGGCAGCATCCTCGACAAGGCTTTCAATTTGTCATAGTTTGGCCCTTTGGGGATTCGCGGGTTGCGGAGTTTGTGGGCTTGGGGAACTGAGGGTTGAGCACTAGAGTTGAC